GTTGAAGAATTCTTGAGACGTGTGCCGCCTCCTGTCCGCCTCTACTTAGCAGATAAAGAAGAAACCGACTACCTGAAGTGTGCTAAGTCGGCTGACACTTACAGTCTCATTCACCGGCTGACACCTGAACCATCCTCCAGTAAGAAGTCGTGGTACAGTTACGAGAAGGTGAGCCCCGATCAAGCTGGTTCACAACTGTACTGCAAGTATTGTAGACTCTATGGACATACCATAGACAAGTGTGGTAAGTCTCAATACAAGGGAACCACTGACCAACAACGACCCAAACCAACTCCTCCTAAGTCCGGTAAGCCTGTGATGAATGTTGGTGTTGATGTTAATGATCTTTCTCTTTTCAGTAACCACCTGTATACTGGAACTGTCTCTGCCAACGGTTCAAATCCGGAGGGACGTTTCAAATTGAAGATCTTGAGGGACACAGCGGCTCTACAATCGATCATCTTGAAGTCGGCTGTGCCCAACATAGTCTACACCGGGGAAACAGTCTTCATCACTGACCTCACTGCTACCACTCCATACCCTCTCGCCAGAGTCCACCTGGATTGTCCCTACGTGAACGGGGAAGTCCAAGTCGCCGTCAGGGAAAAGCCTTTTCCCATGCCTGGAGTGCAACTTCTCCTAGGCAACGACTTGGCAGAAGACCTGCAACCGACCAACCTGATCGTCATGGACAAACCCCAGGTGTGTAACTCTGTGCCAATAAATCCTATTCTTGAGTATGTTCCAGCAGAGGTTCAAGAGAGTGATGAAGTTTCTCGTCCGGTTCTCGCGACCACCCGTGCACAAGCCGCACGTCCACAGCCAGCTGACTCTACTGCTACCGCTGTCCCTCAAGACCCTCAGAAACTACCCCCGCATCTGACCAAGTTGGAGATCCGTAAGTTGCAGAGGGAAGATCTTACTTTAACACCATTGTTTTTCCAGGCTGAGACTCAACCCGACAGTATTCCTGGGTTCTTCCTAGAGAACGACTTGCTCTACCGCCGATATAGACCCAGTAAACTGAAGGAGGAGGACGATTGGGCCAACATCGAACAACTTGTGATTCCCACCAGCCTGCGGCCCACTATTCTACACCTGGCCCACGGAGCATTCTCCCACTACGGCTTCAACAAGACTTACCATGGGATTCGCCAAGACTACTACTGGCCAGGTATGGTAAACAACGTCAAACAGTACGTAAAACAGTGTCATACATGTCAGATGACAGGCAAACCGAACGTCTCCATTCCCAGAGCACCACTGATTCCCATACAGGTGCCTGCGGAACCTTTCCACAGACTCATAATAGACTGTGTTGGTCCTTTACCTCGGACCAGTTCAGGTAACGCCTACATCCTAACCATCCTGTGTCCTACCACCAGATTTCCCATAGCAGTTCCAGTGAAGAACATCACGGCTGCTACGGTTATCAAACATCTATTGAAGATCTTCACTCAATACGGATTTCCCAGGGAGATTCAAAGTGACTGTGGCACCAACTTCACCAGTGATCTCTTCAAAAGGACACTGGAGGAGTTCAACATCAAACAGGTATTGTCCAGCCCCTATCATCCTGCTTCACAGGGTTCTCTTGAACGTAGTCATCAGACCATCAAAGCACTCTTGAAAAAGTTTTGCAGTGAAACCTCAAAGGATTGGGATAAGCAGATTGACCTAATAATGTGTATTTTCAGAAGTCTCCCCAATGAGTCCCTAGGAGTATCTCCTTATGAGATGCTCTACGGCCGTAAGTGCCGTACTCCCCTTAAGGCTTTCAAAGACTCTCTCAGAGATGCCACCTTCAGTGAGCATCAGAATGTGCCCCAGTTTCTTCAAAACCTTCAACACATTCTAGAGAGAGTCCACCGCTTTGCTCATGATAATCTATTGAAAGCCCAGGTGAGAATGAAGACTCATTACGACCAGACCAGCAAAGTAAGAAAATTCAAGCCGGGAGACTTCGTCCTTGCTTATTTCCCTATCCCAGGTTCACCTTTACAAGACAGATTTTCAGGACCCTACTGCGTCAAAGAGTGCAGGAATAATAATAATTATGTGATAGAGACTCCAGATAGGCGGCGGAAGACCCAGCTGTGCCACGTCAACCTCCTGAAGCAATATAATGGTACTCCTCCCACTGTCTTGACTAACTATTCCACATTCACAGAACCCTACATCCACAGTGAGACCTTCCCAGCTTCTCCTCCCGAAAGCACTGACAAGGAGTCAGCGCTTTCTAATTCCGAAATCCTTAATGATCTTCCCAAATACTTTCAGGATAATCATAGTGCACCTCTCGTCAAGATCTTCAGAGAACATCAAGAGTTGTTCAGAGATGATCCCCAAGAGTGTAATGTTACCCAGCACGACATCCAACTGCTCCCCGACACCCGGCCGATTCGTCAACCCTTCTACCGAATCAGCCCGAGCAAGAAGGAAGTCATGCGTGCTGAGGTGCAGTACCTCTTGGACCATGGACTGGCTACACCTTGTGAGTCCCCCTGGGCCTCACCTTGTATCCTGGTGCCCAAACCCCAAGGTAAGGTGCGGTTGTGCACTGACTATCGAAAACTGAACTCTGTCACTGTCAAGGATGCTTACCCCTTGCCAAGGATAGATGACATCCTTGATGCCATTGGTAGTGCCCAGTACTTGTCCCAAGTGGACTTGCTTAAGGGGTACTATCAAGTGTGTCTAACGGAGCGCGCTAAAGAGATATCTGCCTTCATCACTCCTTTTGGACTTTTCAGATATGAACGCCTTCCTTTCGGACTATGTAATGCCCCGGCCACCTTTCAAAGAGCTGTCAACCGTGTCATCCAGGGCTTGGATAACACATACGCCTACCTGGACGATATCGTCGTAGCCTCCAACTCCTGGAGTGAACATCTGCTCCAGCTGCGACGTCTGTTCTCCAAGCTCTTGACAGCCGGCCTCACCATCAACCTGGGCAAGTCCACTTTCGCGAAAGGTAAAGTGCGTTATCTGGGTCATGTTATTGGGAGTGGCAGCATAGCTCCGTTAGACTCACACACTCAAGCCATCCTACAGTATCCACAGCCTACCACCAGGAAGCAGCTCCTGCGCTTCCTTGGTCTTGCCTCTTACTACCGTAGGTTTGTGAGGAATTTCAGTACAGTCGCCACACCTCTAATTCTATTAACCAGTCCCAAACAACGGTATAATTGGACCATGCAGCAAACCGTTGCTTTCGAACAACTCAAATTCCTCCTCTGTTCTAACCCCATTCTCGCCTCTCCAGATATCACCAAGCCTTTCGTCCTTCATGTCGACGCCAGTGGTACCGGCGTTGGTGGTGTCCTGATGCAACAACGAGGCGAGGAGGTTCTACCTGTCAGCTACTACAGCTACAAACTGAAACCACACCAGAGGAACTACAGCACTATTGAAAAGGAGCTACTATCCATCGTCCTGAACCTCCAACACTTCGCTCCGTACCTACAAGGCGCCAGGTCTACCACCATCTTCTCAGACCACAACCCTCTCCGCTTCCTACATCAAGCCCAATTCACCAACCAGCGTCTTCTACGATGGGCTCTGTATTTACAAGACTTCAACCTGGAGATCCGCTATATCAAGGGTTCTGACAACACCATAGCCGATGCCCTCTCCAGAGTTTATGAAGTAGAAGCAACTCCATCCATTACTCCACCACATAACGACGTACTTCTTCCAGAACCGCAGGCTTCGGGGGAGAGTTGTGACGATAATCTCCTTCAAGAGATTGAGCCTGCTCTTCCCTCCATAATTACGTCTTCACAACTATATAAAAAGACTATGGAAGAAATGTCCAACAACGACAACAACACCAGCAAGGCTTGCCAGGGTGAGCAAAAACGTATGCAGCCAGCCACCTGTTCGGACCCAAATCACCAAACTACATGTTGATCGCTGCCGGCTGCGCTGATTGGTCGCCGGTCTGGCTGCACCTGCACTCGCCCCCCATACTACCTGATGTCTGGGGTCGCCCCAACATCAGTCCTCAGAATGTTCAGTGCTTTCGTAGCCAGCACACCTCCCAGCTAGACTCTAGAGTGTACTGAGAGAGGTGGTGGCTTTAAGCCAATATTCCAGCACCTCCCACTTACTGTTGTATTGCACTTCTTGTTATTTTGCCTTAACGTAACTTTTCATTTTGTCATTTAAGAATTCTTATTATTTTGATTCATTGATTTTATTATAAGAATTTGTTTGTGCATTATTTTCATGTTTTGATTTATTTAACGTAATTAAAATTTCATTGTTAAAGTTTACTTGTGTTTTGTGTGTCTTCTCCTTACCTTACCACAGACGAAGTTCCAGTTTTTCTATTTTTTTTTATAACTATGTGACGAGGCCATACCCCTAGCCTTAAACAGCCGAACACCAACGCGTTACCGTCACAAGGCAAATCGGGCTTTGCATAGTAGGCTGAGAAGTGCGTTCTGGCTACTAGGTATGACATATATATATATATATATATATATATATATATATATATATATATATATATATATATATATATATATATATATATGTCGTACCTAATAGCCAGAACGCATTTCTCAGCCTACTATGCAAGGCCCGATTTGCCTAATGAGCCAAGTTTTCATGAAATAATGGTTTTTCGACTACCTAACCTACCTAACCTAACCTAACCTAACTTTTTCGGCTACCTAATCTAACCTAACATATAAAGATAGGTTAGGTTAGGTTAGGTAGGGTTGGTTAGGTTCGGTCATATATCTACGTTAATTTTAACTCCAATAAAAAAAAATTGACCTCATACATAATGAAATGGGTAGCTTTATCATTTCATAAGAAAAAAAATAGAGAAAATATATTAATTCAGGAAAACTTGGCTTATTAGGCAAATCGGGCCTTGCATAGTAGGCAGAGAAGTGCGTTCTGGCTACTAGGTACGACATATATATATATATATATATATATATATATATATATATATATATATATGCTAAAACAATCAATAGTTTCAAAGTGGCATATGACAGGAAGATGTGACATCATTCACCCTTTAACTACACAGAGGTAATTTCATGGAACCGAAGAAAGACAAAATGTAACACAACCGTCCACCTCGGGCCTTTGTGCAACCTCAAAAGTCTTCTCGATTGAAAAGTAACAACCCTGGAGTGAAAAACAAACAAAACTCTGCACCGAATGAAGAACAATGGCGCCATGAACTATAGAACAACTGCCACCCACAAAGCCTCAACCTAAACTGATGTGACCCCTGGTGTGGCCAACCCTGGTGTGGCTGGTGTGTGGAGATAGATGACCAAAGGCAAACAACGATCCAAAAAGTCTCAAAGTGTGGCAGGGTACTCGATGCAAAGCACCAAAAGCCCCATCCCCCCAAATAAAATAAGACCTACACGGAAACCACTGACATTAACATGGGCACAGATCAGTTGGAAAGCTGGGTTCCAGAAAATGTAGCACAAAATTCTCACAAACTCCCTACCATGAAAAACAGAGAAGAGAGAGGTGCAAGTCACCACCGGACAAAGCTGGAAACAGTGAACTCCCAAAGATGTAAACACAACAACAGCCAACCCCCAGCAGCTTGGCCCCACAGATAAGCTGAAGCACATGCAGTACCTGGAGTGAGGTCCTTGAGAGGGATGATGACACAAAGGGGCAGACTCCTGAGCCTTCTCAGGGAAGAGAAACGTAACTGTAGGCAGAGGCATCATTATAGCAACCAGGTGGGTAGTCAGGGAGCCACCGGGAACCCCTCACAGAGAAGAATTAAATTGTAAAACTTTATAACCTTTTCTCATTACTTATAAAATAAGTTACCTGGGTTGATGTCTCTATCAGCAATCAGGTGGCGCCCTTGGGAGTGAGTGTAGGCAAGCTTGACTGCACTGCTGAGTGACGGTATGGCTGGGTTATAGTCAGCTAACTTAGGGGGCTCAGGGTTTATATATGCAAAACATGGTTCAAAGGTGTTTAAAGCTTCAGCTGAAGCATCAAATGCCTTGTCTTTACCCTCTGATATTAATTTCAGACAAATACGTTTCCTGTCTAATAATTTTGTACGTGACTGTACACAGCCAAGTTCCAGTGCCCGGTCAATGTCATCTGAACATTTTGTATACTGCTTCAGGTCATAAAGCACAACAGATCGTGACTCATAAGCTTGGGCCAATTCTTCATACTTGTCTTTGCCAGGGTTCTTAGGACTATCTGTGATTGTGTCTGGATGTGGCGCAGATAATATGGCCAAATTATAAGAGCTTAATGCCTGAACTAGATTATGAAGGCGGTAGGCTATGTCTCCCTGTCTACAGTGCACATAAGACTCATCTTTTGACTTGCTTGATGGGTGCAGAACTGGCGTTAGAGTTGCATGGGCTTCATCCAGGCTCCACAAATAGGAAAACATTTCCTCGGTTGTGTTTTCTGGCTTTATTATAGTCATAACTTCAGACATCTTGTTGCTTAATCTGCTTTTAAGCTTTCCAAATAGAATTTCAATATTTACTTGAGCCATGATGATGTTTCAAACTTCAAGAAAATATGGTTACCAGGGACCTGAAAATAAGGTATTCTGTTAACTTTGATTTAAAATTAATTGAATTTCTATGCAATATACAAAAAATAAGTGCTTTAAAGTATATGAAAAAGCTTTAAGAATTTATGGAACAAAATACTATGTACAATGTCACAAACTGAATCTTCAATTACCAGATGACTATTAAAAAAAGAAAATTATCATCACTTCAAGCAACCTCTATAACCAATTAAGTAAAATGAGATGGAGAGGTGTAAAACATACAGCATGACGTTAACCCTTGCACTGCACAGCACATACTCAAATGTTTGACCAATTGTGTGCAAAGCCTGTAGGCCCAAATGGAATCTTACCATGGATACTAAAAGAGAGAGCAGAAGCACTGCACCTACCACTCTCAAAGGTATACAACATGTTACTGGTAACAGAACTGCCAAAAATTTGGAAGACGGCTAATGTAGACCTGATATGCAAGAAGGAAGACAGACAGGAGGAATTGAACAACACGCTAATGTCCCTAACTTCATCAATTGATGCTAACCTTGTAAGAAAAATCCCAGAGACCTAGACACATGTTTTTACATATCTCACAGGCAGCTATCCTAACTCTGTAGTCCTTTTGCCAGTCAGCCCGTCAGATATTACCCTTGACCAAAATGCGATCCAAATTAGCCTCTTCATTGACCTGACCAGAGAAAGGCCTTTGTTAATGTAAACCACAGCTACCTCTTACTTAAACTTCACCAATACGGTATCCAGGGCCTTGCTCTGAAATATATTCGTTCCTATCTCAGTGACAGACACCAATATGTAGCCATCCATAACATAACCTACCCCACTCAACTATAAACAGTAGGAGTGCCACAAGGCAATATATTAGGACCTCTCCTTTTTCTTAAAAACATCAATGATTTGAAAATGTTTCTAACATTCTTAAACCTATACCATTTGCTGACGATACTATCTTCATCTATTCTGACCCCAACCCACACACACATAATAATATTGTTAATAATGAATTAAAAAAAGGTCACTCATGAATGTCAACCAACAAACTCACACTAAACATAGAAAAGACTTACTATATTTTATTTTGTAGTAAATCATGAAATAAAATTCAACTTCAGGTAGACAAATGTAACCATTAGCAATAAAAATGAGGGAAAGTTCCTTGTCCTATACATAGACAAGAGACTGAACTTCAGCATCCACATACAACACAACTAAAAAAGTCTCAAAAACGGTAGGTATATTTTCTAAAATCAGATATTATGTTCCTCACTCTGTTCTCCTCTCATTATACTACACACTAATCTATCCTTATCTTATATATGGTATCTGTGCATGGGGTTCAACCACTGCAAATTACCCCAAGACCATCATCACTCAGCAAAAATCTATCAGAACAATAACAAACTCTGTCTTCAGACAACATACAGCCCTCTGCTCTGATTAAGTCCCATAACATGCTAAACATACACTCACTCCACACATTCTCATGTGCTATTTACATGCACAAAACCTTGTTCCTAAATGCTAACCTTGATCTGAAATTTTTCTTTGATAGACGTAATAGAACCCATGAGCACCACACCAGAAAAAAGGTCTCTTTTATATTCCCAGAATCGAACTAAATATGTGACAACATTCCATGGAAATAAAAAGAACAACTCTTTAGAACTCACTCCCTGACTAATTAAAAAAAAATTCCAACCTATGACCTATCCAATAATTAAACCAAAAAGTACCTAATTTCATCCTTGTAGTTTTTCTACCTTGTGCTTCAAACTCACACTGTAAATTATGCTACCCAACTTCCCCAATATTAATACTTAAGATTAAAGACTAAATAGACCAGTGTAAGCGCTTCTGTCAATTTATATTGTAGTTATTTGTTGATATAAACGCTTGCTCCTATGTACCTTTTCATCTTACATGATATGTTAAATATCATTTGGGTTGGTTTGGGACCAACCCAAAACGCTAAGCGTGTTAGTGGTTTCGAATGAATGTACAAATTCTAATCTAATGTAATCTCACAACCCACTGCACTGTACATTATTGTGAATAAATTATTATTATTATTATTATTATTATTATTATTATTATTATTATTATTATTATTATTATTATTTGGATACCATGCAAGGTGATGGAGAAAATTGTGAGAAATAAACAAATAGAACATCTGGAGAAAATATATTTGGTAATGCATCACTAGCATGGGTTCAGGGATAGAAAATCTTGCCTAATGTGCAATAGAATTTTATGGCCAGGTGACAACAATTAGGCAAGAAAGAGAAGGATGAACAGACTGCATACTTTTGTATTGCTGGAAAGTCTCTGATACAGTACCCCATGAGAAACTGGTGCATAAGTTGGAGATGTAGGAAGGAACTACAAGGAAGGTTCTCCAGTTGACGAAGAAGTACCTAAGCAACAGAAAACAGCAAGTCACTCTAAGGGGGTAAGGTTTCAGAGTGGCGAGACATCACTAGTAGATTTCCATAGGGATTCAATCCTTGGATCTATGCTGTTCTATATATATAAACAATCTCCTGGAGGGAATAGACTCATTCCTATCACTGTTTGTTGATGATGTAAAATTATGAGGATTGACACAAAAGATGCCAAGAGGGTACAAGACGACCTGGGGCAAATTGATGGAATGGTCCAATAAATGGCTACTAGAGTTTAACTCATGAAAATATAAAGTAATGGAGCTAGGTGGAATGAGTAAAAAGCCATACAAAAGGCACCGAATGGGAGACAAAGTCCTCTATGAAACCGACAGAGAAACACCTAGGAATTGATATCACACCGAACCTATTTCCTGAAGCCCACATAAAACTGATATCATCAGTGATGTATGCCAGACTGATTAACATCAGAATTGCCTTTAGAAATTTGTGTAAGGAATCCTTTAGCACTTCGTAGAGCACATATGTAAGACCAATACTAAAATATGCTGCTCCAGAATGGAGTCCATACTTTGTTAAGCAAAAGATGAAGTTGGAGAAGGCTCAATGGTATGCCATTCGACTAGTTCCAGAACTACAAGGTATGAGTTATGTGGAATGGCTGTATGAATTGCTGCTCACCTCACTGGAAGACAGAAGAGTTAGAGGAGACATGATTACTACTTACAAAATTCTCAGGAATTGACAGGGTAGATAGACATATATTTAACAGGTTTCCACAAGGGGGCAAAGGTGGAAACTGATTACCCTAATGAGCCAAATAAATATTTGAATTTTTTTTCAGTCCATCTCTCTATCCATGTATCTTTCTATCCGCATATTCATCCATCCCCCCTATCCATCCATCTACTTATGAAAGTTATATATCCAACCATATATCCATCTGTGTATCATCTACCTAATCACCTCTCTATCCATATATCTGTCTGTATATCTATCCATCCCTGTAACTATACATATATCCATATATATAAACAGGATATTGGGGGAATGATACAGACAGAAATACTTGGGTTGGAGATTCAGGTGAAAGTTTTGATGAGTGATGATATGCTGTATTGATATTCACAGTTGGTCAGTGGATAGTTGTGAAATGACGAATTAACACTATAATCGGTTAGGTTAATTTGGTGAGTTGTGATGAGTGCGTGTAAAAGTGTGAACGCAGTATTTTGCGTTTGAAATTGGGGAATGAGCGAAGGTTTGTATACAGTAGAGACATCTAGTGAGCGTTATGTTTCTAACCAAGATGTGATTATCTACCCAATGTATGGTATTCAAACATGCAAAGGAGGGAAATCTGAGAAGCTCTGTTTTCTTCTTAACATAGTGAGTAAAGTACTGAACTTTGTAAGAATACTAGGAACAGCACTTATGCGCACAAGAGTTTCTAATATGACCAAGAACACCTTCAGGGTGAGAATAAGGTTTGTATTAAGAACTTGTGAAACCGAAAGGATATTTGTGATGAGAGAACGAGACGTGGAAGTCACGTTATCTCATCTAAGATTTATTAAGTGGAAGGAGTACATGCTGAATAAACTTATACAGTAACAAAAAAATTTGCCTCACAAAGTACAGAAAGAGTATGATACAGGCAAGTTGTATAGAGATCTTGTGTAATGAGTCAGTGTATTCTTATTCAAAGAAGAACAGTGGAAAGGTGTGAAATTACGAAGACTAAAATAAGTAGAAACAAATAGTTGTGTTGTGAAAATTGTGTTCTGTGTAACAATATTCTGAAATGCACAGAGGATAGATGAATGTGAATTGTGAAGGAATACTAAGATAGGTTAAGGGGATGGATAAGTTGGGGTGAAAGAAGAGTGTGTCCGAATCCGGCACACACATAATAACATAGTATCCCCTTTCAGTATTCCCTTAATAATAGAAAATGGGTGATCCTGTGACGTCAGAGACGTCACGTATATTTACAAAATATAATACTCTTTATACAACAGTCTTGTGTCTAAATTTAACAAAAAAGTACTCAATAAGACTGAATATAATTACTAACACCAAAAATGTAGCTTGACTCCCTTGTTAATGTAAATTTAAGTTCAGAAGTAGAACCAACAATAACATTGGTACACGAAAGGGAAGGGGCTTCACTCTTCTCTCTACAACAACAACAAAGTGGGTGCTCCAGAAGTGTTGTGATACTAGTCGCCTTGGATAGACTTACTCTGCCCCAAGAAACTACCACGACAACACCACTACTATCACTAGAGCAATCTTGTATCCGGCTTACCAAGTATACTATATATTTGATTGATATGTGTACACATTTTTTTCATTTATGAGGTAGTCGGTTATGATGTATGGATAACACCCCACAAAAGTACGTGTACCCCATTCAACACCCTCATATTCCATGTCATACCTGTAATTATATATTTAGGGAACTTTTATTAACTCCTTCTATCCCATACAGGTAAATTGTGATTTGGAATAGCAAGAAGCTGAGCAGACAGTTGAGCCTTACACATAATGTACCTAGCTGTATGCCAGAGCTTGTAGTCTCCACAGCCGCCATTACG